CCCCGGCGTGCTCTCCCGGCCATTCCGGTTCAGCAGGTTCCAGCCTCTGGTTTCTGCGGCTGACATGTTGAGGCAGGAGCCAAAGGAGCCCAGCACCCTGGGCTGCTTTCCCTAGTGGAACGGGCTTCCCCCTGGTGTGGAAGGGGCTGCAGTCTCCATCCTCCTCGGGCATCCCCTTGTCAGGTCCCTCCTTTATTTGTTCCACACCCCTGTGTGCCAGGAACTGGTCGGGCAACTGGGACAGGGCAGGAAGCAAAGCAGGCATGGTGTCCGTTCTGCCCCAGGGTATTGTTCTAGGTGGGGAAGCAGCTGTGAGCCAAATACTCGCCCCAAACGTAGAAAAAGTAAAAACGTCACGCACGTACTATGTAACAAACTGTGAGCAGTGCTATGAGAGAGGCAGAGGGAGTTACCAGAGAGCTTAAAACCAGGAACTGAGCTAATGGAGTAGGGGACAATGACAGAGAGACCAAGGGAGGTTTTCTGAGGAAATGATGTTTAAGTTGGGATCAGGAAGGTAAAGAGGATGCCTAAGAGGTTTGTGGCGGCAGAAACAGCTTATGCAAAGGCCCTGAGGCCACAGGGAACATTGCTTATCCAGGGGATGGGAAGCCAGGGCTGGTGGGGGTATGGGGGGCGCATGGTGGAGAGTGGCTGGGGTTAGACCTGGCAGGGCTCTGTCCACCATGAAATGAGTTGAAATTTTGTTTTGATAGCAGTAGGAGGCCGTCTCTGGGTTTTAATCAGAGGAGAGAGGCAGTTCACTCTGGCTGCTGAATAGACCAGAGTGGAGGGGGCAAGACTGGAGGCAGGGACACAGCTTGTTGGGCTGGTGGAGTGTCCAGTCAAGGGAAGGTGGTATCTGGACTAAGGTGGTGGCATTGCAGAAGGAGATCACAGGAGATCACAGAGCTGCTGGTGTGCAGATCCTCGGGTGTGGGGGAGGGGTGCACACCCAGTGGAGCGTGAGTGGGCAGAATCCTATCCGAGAGAACCCATCTGAAAGGACCAGCAAACAGGGACAGGCTCTGCAGACCAACACAGACTGGGAGAGTCTGGAGCCTCCTTCAGAGTGTAGTCGGAGGAAATGTGAAGCAAACTGAAGCTTCTAGAACCTCTGTTATCCCCAGGCCACTCTGTCTCCCACCAAGGCTGCCCTGGCTCTTCTGGCCCAGTGGCCTCATCCCCTCTATTCCAAGAGCAGTCAGGTAGGGCCCGAGTTTCCATCCTCCATGGAGCCTTGGGTGCTGGTGCTGGAAGATGAGCTTAAGATTTAGAATGCCAGTCAAACCCTAGCTCTACCCCCATGTCACTCTGTGACTTGTCCGTTACTTAGCCTTCTGAGCCGCCATTGCTCCATCTCTCAAAGAGAAGACGCTAAGACGACCCGCGTCATTGTTTCAAGACTAATAATATGAATAAGAGTCTGCACAGACCCTTGGGTCACTAGCACCATTTTGCAGATGAGAAAAGGGAGGCTCGGAGATGATGAATGACTTGCTTAAAAATTACATAAAGCTCCCCTTCCCCCCGGGCCCCAGAGTGCTCAGTAAGGTGGTCCCCTTCCTGCTCTCTGTACCTGCCGCTGTGACTGCTGACCCAGTGGTTCCCCAGCCCCTCCGCTCCTCAGGGACCGTGCCCATCTCCACTGGACCCTGGATCGGCACCCTCTTCCTTTCTGCTGCCTCCTTGCCATCAGCATGTAAATATTGTCTTTCATGTCTTAGGAAACCAAAAAAGAAACCAAGATGTAAACCTCCCTCGGCCCCTCATCCCCTCTAGGTGCCATCTTTTCTTCACAGCCAATGTCCTGTAAATGGTCACTGCACTCTTCCCTCTCCTTCCTCACTCCCCACTCACTCCTCCACCTTCTTCGGTCCGGCTCCCCCCAGCATGCCACAGGCCCTGTTCTTCACAAGGCCCCTCTGTTCTGTACCAGGTGTCTTGGAGTCAGACAGGCTTGAAGTCAAGTCTCAGATGTGCCACTCATTGGCTGTGTGACTTTGGGCAAGTGACTTGACCTCTCTGAGCCCTGTAAACTGGGAATAACAATGATGAAGGACTAGATGAGATAAAGTTCCTGGTGCAGAGTGGGTGCTTAGGGAGAGATTGTCATCATGGCACACACACGTTTCTGTGCCAGGGATCGGGTCAGGTCGGGGCGGGGCTCACCGGCGCTGAGCAGGTGGTCTGAAAGGTCATTTCTCACGGTATTAGCCTTCCTAGAGCTGTTCATTGGCCTGATTAATAGGAAATGGATCCTCTGTCAGGATTAACGAGGCGTTGCTACGTCTTAATGAAAGCAGGTTTCTCTGGTCTTGTGGCCCCTGGAGGTGGGATTCATGGGGACAGGTGCTCCCAGTCAGCCCTGGTGTGTTGTACCGAGGTGATGTGGGCATGGCGGTACAGTGTCTGAGGCCCCTTCTTCCTTCCCCTCCCCCACCTCCCGGTGGCCACCCTGGGGAGATGTACAGGCTAGCTATATTAGAAGGCAATAACCCAGTCAGTGGGGGCGGGTGGGGGTGCAGACTTACAGGAAAGCATTCACCTGGGAAGACGTCCAGAGATACTTAAGAGGTGGAATGTCTAGGCCTTTCGGGACTGCTGGTATGTGGAGGCTGAGAGAGGAGAAGTCACGGTTTCTGGCTTGAGCTTAGGGGTAGATGGAGGTACCATCACCCAGGTGGAGAGTAGTGGGGGAGGGACAAGTCTGGGAGAGACGGTGGGGCAGCTTTCCGCACGCCCTTGTCCTCGAGCTTGGAATTGATGGGGTATAGCAGTTAAAGCATGGACTCCAAACTCAGAACTCCTGGGTTCAAATCTCAGGTCTGCCACAAACCAGCTGTGTCATGTTGATAAATCCCTTAATCTCTCTGTGCCTTGATTTTCTTCTTTATAAGCACATGCAATTGTAGCACCCACTTCATATGCTATAGCTCTTTGAATAGTGCCTGGCACATAGTAAACACTTTCTAAGGGTTAGATGTCACTATTAGTATTTTCTTTCTTTTTCTTTTATTTATTTATTTTTTAAGATGTTACTTATTTATTTGACAGACATAGCAAGAGAGGGAACACAAGCCGGGGGAGTGGGAGAGGGAGAAGCAGGCTTCCCGCCGAGCAGGGAGCCCGATGCGGGGCTTGATCCCAGGAGCCTGGGATCGTGACCTGAGCCGAAGGCAGACGCTTAATGACTGAGCCACCCAGGCACCCCTCTTTCTTTTTCTTTTAAAGATTTACTTATTTATTTTAGAGAGCGAGAGGGGGAAGGAGGAGAGGAAGAGAGAGAGAGAGAGAGAATCTCAAACAGACTCCATGCTGAGTGCAGAGCCTGATGTGGGGCTCGATCTCATGACCCTGAGATCATGACTTGAGCCGAAACCAAGAGTCAGACACTTGGCCGACCGTGCCACCCACATGCCCCTAATGTTTTGTGTATAGATCTTCTTGCCACCATGCTCCCATGCCTACCAGCTGTGGAGTGTTGGCCATCTCTGTAGGACTGTGCCATGGTGACTTGGTGTCTCCATTTCTCCAGGCAAACCTGTCTTCATTAAGGTCCCTGAGGACCAGACTGGGCTGTCAGGAGGAGTGGCCTCCTTCGTGTGCCAAGCCACAGGGGAGCCCAAGCCGCGCATCACATGGATGAAGAAGGGGAAGAAAGTCAGCTCCCAGCGCTTTGAGGTATAGTCTTGGGTAGGAAGGGGCAGGCAGGGCTCCCGGTCAGCCTGTCCTCTTCCGGGGTCTGATCCTACATCCCTTCTCCTTCGTCTCCCTCCTCGGGGGCCTTTCGGAGGTGGGAGGATGTCTGACCCTGAGCCGGCTGTGAGCCTGTGTCTGTCCTCTGGCAGGTCATTGAGTTTGATGATGGGGCAGGGTCTGTGCTGCGGATCCAGCCGTTGCGCGTGCAGCGAGATGAAGCCATCTATGAGTGCACAGCCACCAACAGCCTGGGAGAGATCAACACCAGTGCCAAGCTCTCAGTTCTCGAAGGTACGTGCCGGGGAGCACCGTGACGCGGTGGGTGGGTAGACCGGCGTGTGGGAAGAGCCAGTCAGCCAGCCCTGCCCCTGCCGTGGGCTGGTGTGTGTTTGGCAGAAAGGAGAACTGGCCATCTTGGCGTTGGCAAAGGTCAGATGTGGACGGGGATGGTCACTGGATGTGGCCTGGACTGTGTAGCGTGTGCCTGGTGTCTTTGTATCCTCCTGCGGAGCCGTGGCATTGCTCGGGTAGGGTCTGAGGTCTGACTTGACGTGTGGGGCTGCGGTTCTCTATCGTCTGGGTGACGTGGCTTGTGGCAGCGGATCTGATTTTCCTGTGGAGCCTGGCGGGGGGCTCCAGAGAGGTGTGTTCCCTATAGCCCTTAGGAACAAGGGCCCCAGGCTGGGGGCTAGGACTGTGTGTGTGGATTTTAGTGTCTTCTCCCCTCCTGGCTCCTGCATTCATTCACAAATACTCCCTAATGCTGCTGTGAAGTCCAGAGCGTCATCTGACCTGGGCCCTGCCCTCGAGACAGTCTCCAGTAAGTCTTATGGGGGCAGCTAGGGTTGCACAGAGGAGAGGGAACTGTTGTCTGAGCTGAGCCCGAAGGGTAAGTGGGAGTCAGGGTGGGGGCCTAGGCAGAAAGAACAGCAGCAGCATGTGCCAGGGCCCAGAAGCAGGAGAGAAGGGGGCTTTCAGGGAACTCTGAGTTGCTCAGTTTGGCTTGGGGGGTGGATGGAGTTTGAGGGCACAGAGAGACGGTGGGGCGATCTAGAGAGGCTGGAGGGCAGATCACACAGGACGTGGCTGAGAAATGAACTCTCCTGGGGGTGTAGGAAACCATGGGTGGGGGGGGTGACATGATCGGCCCCCAGCCACAATGGATTCATCAGCCTGAATATGTCTGTGTATATTTTCAAAATATAGCCTTGATTGTTGCCTTTTTTAAAAAAATTGCGGTAACAATACCTGTTCACTGTTGAAAATTTGAGAAGTATAAAATAGCACGTAGGAAAAAGTAAAAATCACCTGTTATCTTGCCTCTACCAGTGACACTTGATTATTTCCTTAGGGTCCATTTTCTGGGCAGGCATTATGTATGCAGTTAACCCTTGAACAGTGCAGGGGTTAGGTGTGCTAACCCCCCCACACCCCCCACCCAAGCAGTGGAAAATCTGCATAGAACTTTGACTCTCCCAAAACTTAACTACCAATAGCCTACTATCTACTGGAAGCCTTACCAATAACGTAAAGTTGATCAGGGGCACCTAGGTAGCTCAGTCGTTTAAGCGTCTGCCTTCGGCTCAGGTCATGATTCCGGGGTCCTGGGATGGAGCCCCACGTTGGGCTCCCTGCTCAGCAGGGAGTCTGCTTCTCCCTCTGTTCCTTCCCCTGCTTGTGCTCCCTCTCCCCCCTGAGATAAATAAGTAAAATCTTCTAAAAAAAAAAAATGTAAAGTTGATTAACACATATCTTGTGTATATATTATATACTGTATTTTTACGATAAAGTAAGCTAGAGAAGAGAAAATCTTATTAAGAAAATCATGAGAGAGGGGCACCTGGCTGGCTCAGTCAGGAGAGTATGTGACTCTTGACCTCAGGGTCGTGAGTTCAAGGTCCACCTTGAGTGTAGACATCAGTAAAAAAAAGTAAATTTTTTAAAAAGAAAATCATGAGAAAAAATAAATTTGTATAGTACTATACTATAGTTAGCGAAAAAAGTTCACATATAAGTGGACCTGTGCAGTTCAAACCCGTGTTGTTCAAGGGTCGGTTGTGTAAGAAAAATGGGATCACATCCTGCCCAGTGATCTGTAGACTGCTTTTTTTTTTTTTTTTCAAGATTTTGTTTTTAAGTAATCTCTACACCCAATAGGGGGCTCGAACTCACAACCCTGAGATCAAGAGTTGCATGCTCTACCGACTGAGCCAGCTGGGCGCCCCTCATTTGTAGACTGCTTTTCAAAATAACATATCATGAACATCTTCCTCACCATTAAATATTCTGTATCATTATTTTTAATGGCTGTAGGTATCACACGAGGCGCCTTAATTCATTTAGCCATTCCTTTATTGTTGGACACATATATTGTTCCCATTTTCTTGCTTTTATAAATAAAGTGCTATGCACTTCCTTGCAGATAAGATGTGTTCACCTTCCTGATTATTTCCTTATTCTAGATTCATGGAAGTGGAATTGCTGGATCAGAGGACACATGAATTTTTAAGAGTTTCAGTATTTCCAGAAGATTGTGTCAGTTTACACTCCCACCAAGCAGGGCATGAGAGGGCCTCTTTTCTGCACATCCTCACCAGCAGTGGGAATTATCATTAAAAAAAATCTTTGCCAAGTTAATAGGCAAAAAATGGCATCTCAATTTAATTTGCATTTCTTTGATTACAAGAGCAGTTGAACATCTTTTCACATTGGCCATTTTTATGCTATGGCTTTATGTGTTTGCATGCATCCATTCAGTAACTCCCTTGCGCCTGTGTGTTTCCTGTGTGTATGTGGCGGGAGTCCAGTTTAGAGGGACAGTGGTTAAGAGCAGGGGCTCCAGACCCCTTCCTCTCTTACCTTGTGACCTGGACAAGTAACTGTGCCTCTGAGCCTCATTTGCTCCATCTGTAAACAGGGAGGCAATGCCTACTGCCCGAGCTGGTTTGGAGGATTGAATATGACGTAAAGTAGTTCACGGGATTCCAGTGGGAACGGTAGCTGCTGCTGGGCGGGAAGCTGCCAGTACCTGGCTTCCGTGGCATCATCTAGGTGGTGCAGCCCCACTGTCCATTCTCACGGCGGGGAGGGGACTGACCTGTGGAGCAGGGACCCAGAGGACAGGCCCTGGGCCAGGACCTCAGTTTCTGTCACCGTAACCAGGGACAAGTAGTTCAGTCCTGCCCTCCCTCCTGTTGGCGTCTGCACCAGCAGGGAGCCATCTGTCCTACCCTGGCATTTGGGAGATGGCTAAAGGGTCAGAACCGTGGCTTCTGCCCCAGAGGGCATCTGATCAGACTCTTGTTGAAGAAAGAGGACCTCCGTGCTAATGTTGAAAGAAAAGCACCCCTCCCCAGAATCCCTATGCCCCAGTTCCTTTGTGGGCACTCTCCTTCCCCCGCACTGCCCTAGGCAGCTTTATCTTTTATAGGATTGAGGAGGAGGAGGATGGTCTTTCAGGTCCTGAGGTGAGGGGGATTCAGACTTGGAGGGGACCCCTCCATCCTGAGGGGCATTCTTGAATGAAGGTTCCTCTAGCAGGGGCTAGGGGATGTTTGTGTTTCTAGGCTGTGGGAAGTGTCTGATGAGGTTGGGGTCAGTGTGGGGCAGGTCCCTGCCCTGCTGGTGCTCCCGCCCCGGGGGTGGGGGGGGGTGGGGTGGGACTGTGGGCCTCAGGGAGCCCCTCCTCCTGAAACGCGGCACCCGGAAGACGAAATGCTGACTTACCGTGTTGGTCTGTGTAACCTTGACCAGGCTCCTGGCTTGGCAGAAAGGAGTGGAGTGGGAGGTCTCAAAGATGCCAGGAGGCGGGGCCAGGAGGAAGCAGCCCAGACTGTGAGCATCCCCGCCCCTCCCTGCCTGCCCTGAAAGGTGTGGGGGCCGGGAGGGGGGGGGGCGGGGGGCGGAGCAGGCTGAAAGGGTAGTCTGACTGGGGCTGTGGGCTGGAGCCAGAGGAGAGCCAAGCTGCTCCTGGGAGGCCTCCACAGGTTCTAAGGAGGCCTGGGGAGAGGATGAGACTGGTTTGAGGGCTGGGAATAAGAGTGAGTCCCTTCCGGGTGTCACACACTGCACGTACGCCCCAAAGCACGAAAGCACGGTCCGTGCACATGCTTACTGCGCACTGGGTGTATCAAGGGAGTGGCTGAGGGCTGCCTGCGGCGACCCGGCTCAGGGGAGGAGTCAGTGTGCCCCCAAAAGGGAGCCTGGGCCTACAGCTGTGGTCCCGTGCCCCCTGCCCTGTGTGGTTCCGCACCAGGCCCAGCCTCCCCCATATGCAGTCCGGTGCAGCCTCGGGGAACCGCCAGGCTGCTTGGGGGCCCACCACTCCCTCGTCCTGGCCTTTGCCCCCGGCTCCCCCGACACCTGACTGCCACTCCCCGTGTGTCCACGTGTGGCCCGGTGTGGCCCCGCGGTGCTGCGCCTGCCGCCCCCCAGCCCCGGGGCTGGGGACCGGGTGGGGGTGCCCGGCATAAGCGGGCCAGGGCGAGCCGTCCGGGCTGTGACGCGCGCGGGGCCCTGCCGCCCAGTGTTCCTGTCTGAGTGGTAATTGAAGCCATTAGCGCACCAGCCTCTCCCTCGCCCGGTAATGGCAGGAAAAGCTCTTCTCACTCCGCACTCTTGAGGCAGCGGCTGAATCACTCCCCCTCCAACCCACCCGCTGCCGCCACTGAGACAGAGAATCTGACATTTTCCCTCTCCAGGGAGGGGGAGGGGCGGCAGGCTTTGCTTCTTGGCCTTTCCCTCCAGGAGGTGGGAGGAGTGAGGGGCTTGGCGCTCCTTCTGGACCTTACGATCTGCCTGAGCCAGTGGGTTCCAGGCCAGGCAGGACAGTGGTCAGCGAAGCCCCAAAGGAGGCCAGACAGCAGGGATGTAGGCAGGGCCCTGGTGACTTGGGTAGGTTCTGGGAGGGCTACGGAAGGGGAGGGGAGAGGTGGAGGACCGCAGGGGGTGGGGGGGGGAGCCCAGGAGCAGGAATGAGCTGTTTGTGACTCTGTCCTGGGGGGGGGGTCTGGCGCTGAGGGCCGGTGGCAGTGCTTGCCTTGTGATCATGGACACAGCAGCTAACACGCACCCCGTGTGTGCTGTGGGTGCCCCGCGTGCCCTGGGTAAGGCAGTGTGTGGTGTGTGCTGCGTGTACAGCAGGGGGTGTGCAGCAGATGTGTGTGTGTGTGTGTGCACGCGCACGCACGCACTCCCATCAAGCACCGTGGGGAGGTGTGGTATATACAGCAGGTGATGAACATCATGCAGTGTCTGTGTGTGCGCACACGGGTGTGTATGTGGGGCGTGGTGTGGTGTGCATGGCAAGCAGCCTGAGCTGAATGTGTGGGGGTCAGTCTGACGCTTGGGGGCATGGTCAGAGAGGCTCTGTTGGGCTCATTGTCTTGGGGACCCATGGGTTCCCTGCCCAGAGCTGTTGGTCAGCGAGGCAGCTGGACAGACGAACGTGGGACAGAGTGGTCAGGCTAACCTGTTCTCAAGTACAGTGGCTCCCCAGCAGGTCCTCTGCAGCCAGGCCAGGAAGGAGGGTGCACAGATAGGGATCCTGCTCAGACCTTGGGAGCCCTCCACTTCCTCCCCTGCCCCTACCAAGGCCAGGCTCCCTTTCACCTGTTTCCACCCGGCCTCGATGTCTGCTGGGTGACTAGGACCGTACCATCCTTGGATGCCACATGGGCCCAGGAATCCAGGTGCCTACATGGAGTGTGTCTGGTCTTGCCTCCTTCGTGGCAGGCTCTGTGGGTGCCAACTGTTAGGCCTGTGGGATAGAGACTGGGGTAGCAGGGCAATCAGTGCTGGGCCTGGACCCATGAGTTCTGCAGTGGCTCCCACCCTGGCTGGCTTTGGGACCTGTGGGGTGATGAAGGACCTCTTGAGACACCCCCCCACTCCTCACCCCCATACTCAGTCCCTTTGGAAACAGCCTCAGGGACAGGAGGACTGATAAGCAACATGTGACCCTGTCCTGAGATCCTGGGCTAGGCTGGACCTGGAGCAGAGTCAGTAAGGGAACTTGCTTTCAGGATGGGTGGGAGTTTCCCAGGGAGTTAGCACTCCTTACTCTACCCCTCTCTCTGCCCCTGGCCCAGGCCTCACTGGGGTTGGGGGCGTTTGGATAAAGGGCTACCACAGGCAGAGGATGACTTCCCAAGTGGCAGGCTCTGCCCTCTCCCTGTTGCCTACATAGGTGTCTGGGTAACAAGCTGATTTTGCAGAAGCTGGGCCTGTCACCTCCCTGATTTGCAGCCACAGAAGGCCTAAAACCCAGACCAACTCCTGCCCCTCCCCTCTCAGCTGAGGCATGACCTACGTGCTTCTGGTCCAGTGACTGGTCTCTGTGACCTGTCCTTCCACCCCCCATCATGACCACTGTAGCATTGGGGACCACACAAACATGAGGCTCGGCAACCATTTCCTGGAGAGTTCTGGACCCTAGGCATGGGGCCGGGGGAGGTGTTAGGTAGGTGGGCACTGCCAAGAGGGCCTTGAAGTTCAGACTCTGGGTTTCTTGGTACCTAGAACCCCCCATTTTCTCTAGTTTTGATCCTTCTCCAAGGGCCCAGCTGGACTCCCTTCTGAATGGCCCTCCTGTGGTATAGGCAGTATGCTTGTGTTTTCTGTTAGCCAGACAGTAGGTACGTCCCCTGTGCCCAGCCTGCCCCCGCCCCTCCATCGCAGGTACTTACTAGTCCCTGGTTTGTGCTTGGCCCCCTCGCTGACTCCCCTCTCCCCTAGCCTCATGACCACACAGTGGAGCCAGCAGCTCTGGGAACAGCTAACCAAGTTGGAGGTTTTAAATGCCCGTATGTGTGCACATTCTCTATCCTTGGTAGGTGCCTCCCTCTGGTTGCCGGGGAGAGAGGATTTTAATCAGAGGAATGATGAGATCAAATGTATGCTTCAGAAAGGTCCCTGAGGGTGCAGAGTGGGGTGGCAGGAGACCAGTAAGAGGTTGGGGCAGCCCTGCAGCCCAGGCAATAGGGCAGTGGCCCAAACCCAGGCAGCAGGCAGGGGAGGAAGGGGGGAATGGGTGGCAAGCGGTGGAGAGAGCTACCTGGCTACTGTGGGGCTGAGGAGGTGGGAGACTCTGGGTTATGGCTCTGGGGCCAGGTAGGTGGTGGTACCATTTTCTAAGTTTCAGGACCCGGTCTGAAGGGGCAGATTGACGAGTCCAGCTAGAAATCTGTTGTATCAGGCATGTGCGGGCATCCAGGGGGAGGTATCCAGGAGGCCTTGTTCACATTCGCCTGGCGCTCCAAGGGACATCTGGAAATGGAGTTTTGAAGGCTGAGAAATGGCACATCTCAGGGAGCCAGAGCCAAGAAGGGAGGAAGAGGGCCCGGATGGAGCCCCAGCTGGCTAGTACTTCATGCTGGGGGGCGGTGGGGGGGGTTTCCATAGGAATCTGGTGAGGAGGGGCCTGAAAGGGAGGAGGGAAACCCAGAGGGAGGCTGTGGAAATGGAGAGAAGAGAGGTATGTAAAGGAGGAGGGAGTGGTCAGTGGGGTGGGGTGCTGTCAAGAGGGCAGACAAGATGGGCACTCAGAAGTGTCCTTTGGACTTAGCCCCGTGGAGTCGTGGTTGACCTTGATGA